GACTCTGAGCACTGAGACCTTCTCTGTCTCATTCACTGCTTTATCCCTCAGCACCTAAAACAGTGCCTGGCATTTTGTATTATCTCCATTTACAATGCCTACAGTCAAAGGGTGTGTGTGTATGTGTATGTGTATGTGTTTACATAATAGAAGACAACTTGTCCTTCAGTGCTCATCTCAGATATTACTACTTCAAGGAAGCTTTCCTAACCCCTTAGGTTTGTTTCCCATTTATACACTAACTAGAGGCCCGGTACACGAATTTGTGCCCAGGTGGGGTCTGGCCAGCCTGGCCCGATCGGGGCCAATTGGGCTGGGCAGGCTGGGGGGAGGGGCAGAGGGCGGTTGGCCAGCCAGCTCTGCCCCCTGGTTGAACTCCTGGTGGAGGGGACAATTTGCATATTAGCCTTTTATTATATAGGATAACACACTGTATCCCAATAAGCACAGCAATTATGTGATTACTTATTTAACATCTGTCACTCATGCTAAAGTACACTTTAGCTCCATGAGGACAGGGACTTTGTCTCTGTCATTTTTCTGTGTTATTTGTAGTGCCAAGTATAGTTCCTTACACATAGCTACTCAGTAAATAATCACTGAGATTTTGGCAAATCATTAGGAGTTGAGTGCCTGTCTGTTAAGCTTCAGAACCTTTCTTCTTTAAGGACAACAAAGGAAGTATTTCTTAATGAAATTACACAAGAGGCTCTTCCTCAACTCTATCTCAGTGCAAAATTGGCAACCTAACTATACAGTTATTCATTAACTTTAGATATACTGCTGAGGGTGTGGTTCTGAGAAAAGGAACTGAAAGTCTTCAGCAGATCTCCCAGTTCTGGACAGTAAGCTCTCAGAGCAGTCCCACATATCTGAGCACCTGTTTTTGAAGAAAGTTGGTGGGAAAGGCTCTAAGGACTCTGTGTCCCATTAGGGAACTTTGCAAGAGATAAACACACCTGCTTGTTTACCAGTGTTTCTGACTTCCCGCTGAACTGAAAATTGCTTGTTTGGTGGAAAAACAAAACTTGGCAGCAAATCTCTAAAATGAAGACACCCAAAACCTTTGAGGAGCAAACAGAATGCATCATGGACTTTCTACTCAGAGACTTATTAGGTGCACCTTCAAAGGTGACTAACCGGGACCTATGTGGTGAAGGTGAACTTGAAACAGATTCAGGTAAGGCTCCTGGCCTGCAGTGGTGATTGCAGGGCCATAGGAGAATGGAAGTATGTTTTCTTATTTCCATTTAAGTTTCAATAGGCAAACTCTAAGCTTTCAGCAATACCTGCATCTTTATTTTTGTTAATATATTTTTATTGATTTCAGAGAGGAAGGGGGAGAGAGAGAAACATCAAAGATGAGAGAGAATCATGGATCAGCTGCCTCCTGCATGCCCCCTACTGGGCATGTGCCCTGACTGGGAATCGAACCGTGACCTCCTGGTTCATAGGTTGACGCTCAACCACTGAGCCAGCCAGCTGGGCAATACCTGCATCTTCATGGAAGGGAAATGGATTCTCAGTGAAGGGAAACTTTCTGACTATTGGTGTGGACAGAACATTGAAGATGTTCTCAGGAGAAAATGATCCCCAAATTGTTTAAAATTCTGGAGAACTTTCTTCAGTGCTCAGATTCCTGGGACTTGCCCTCCCCTCAAACACTGTGACAAATGTGATTGTGGGTTGTGTTGCTCTGTTTTAGGAGAGGCTTGCTCTTTTGACGTGGCCATCATTGCTGGTCGCCTTCGGATGTTGGGGGACGAGTTCAACGGAGAACTGGAAGCTTCTGCCAGAAGTGTCATTGCAGAAACCGATCGGGGACAGGTTAACTTCCTACTGTTTTCTATTTACTGCTTTTTTCCTATTTCAGACACCCTTTTCTTACTGCTCCGGGAGTGTGACCAGAAATGTTCTGTGAGAGATTTGGGGACTTATATTTATCCAAGAGGATACAGCACGAATTTCCGATGGCCAATTCTTTAGGAGTTAAGCAAAGGCAAAGTGGTATTGAGATGAAAAGCTTTGGGCATAGGCTGGTCAGCCTTCACATTGTTAACACTGGTTTTTTGTCAAAGCTGTGCTTGGTGGCATAGAGCATATATAAGGCACTTTATTCTTTTATGCATCTGCTTTAATGCTTCTTTTTTTGGATGTGGGCACCTTTTTTCCCCCAGCAGTGACATTACATTAGGAAGGATGGGCAGTGGACAGGTTTGATGCAATGAAGGATAATGGTACAGGAGCCCACTAGGGAGTATCTGGCTCTTCAACAGAATACTGATTATTGACAGAAGCACTTGGGCTCTGTATTGGATATAAAGATAGATCATAGACAATATTCTATAATGTTGCTGATTAACATCAATAGTGATGGTTAATATGAATTCTTCACTTGCCATGTGTCAGGGGATTTTGTAAATGCTTTACACTTATTATCTCATGTAAGCCTTACACCCTTTATGAGGTATTATAGAAACTGTTGTTCAAAGCACAACCTCTCCCCATCTGCATGTAACACTGTGAGAGCAAACACCTAACCCATTTTGTTCACTGCAGTATGTACACAATCTAGAACAGTGCCTGATACATAATAGGTCCTCAGAAAGTATTTTCTGGCTTGATACCCATTTAAGCAGAAAGGAAACTGAGAACTAGGAAAAAAATTAATTGGGTTACACAGTAAGTAACTTTTTTTTTCTTTTCTTTTTTAAAATTTATTTTTCCATTACAGTTTACATTCAATATTATTTTGTAATATATTCAGGTGTATAGCATGGTGATTAGACAATTATATACTTTACAAAATGTTCCCCTCAGTATTTCCACCAACCACCTGGCATCATATATAGTTATTACGATATTATTGACTATATTCCCTATGCTGTACTTTACATCCCTAAGCAATAATTATTGAAGTTAGGATTTGAACCCAGACAGATCCCAACACCATTATGCTGTATTCTTCCTACTGAACATAGTGTGAGGAGTATATCTACTATTCATTCAGGCAGGACTAGCCTTATAGTAATAAGGCTAGTTGCTCATACTGATGCTTTCCTCGGTAGCTGAGAGCTGAATCTACTTTTAATTTTTTAATTTTAAGATTGTTTTGAAACAGCCTCAAACTCACAGAAAAGCTGCTTGTATTATACAAAGAATTTCCCTCTTAAATCATTTGAGAGTAAATAGCCAACATGATATTCCATCACCCCCTAATCCTTTTATTTTCCTTGAAGCAAGGGCATTCTCTTATATAATCACAATCTAACCATTAAAACCAGGAAATTATCATGGATACATTTTCATCTCATCCTAAGATTCCATTCAAATTTTGCCAGTTGTCCCAATGATGTCATTAATAGCAGAAAGACATAGGCCAGATTCACAGATATTGCATTAAGTTGTTATGACCTTTTAGTCTCCTTCAATCTGTAATAGCTTCTTAGTCTTTCACTGATTTTTGTGACCTTGACATTGAAGATTATGGTTCATTTATTCTGTAGAATGTCCCTTAACTTGGGTGTGGTTGATGTTTCCTCTTGAATAGATTTAGGGTATGTACCTTTGGAAAATCATAGAAGTGTTGCTGTGTTGTTGTCATTCTATTAAGTGGCACTGATTTCAATTGGTCCCATTACTAGTGGTAAATTGAATCACTCCCAATGGTGTCTGCAAGGCTTCTCCACTGTAAAGTTATTCTTTTCACCTTTGTAATTAATTGTTTTATAGGGCAGAACTTAGAAACCATGTACAAATCCCATATCTCATCAAAATTTTAATCTATTAATTTATTTTTTACATCAACATAGATTTATGAATTCCTGCTTTATTCAATGGGTTATAATCTGTTACTGTCATTGTTTATTTGAATGTTCACCTTACCCAGCTCTGGCCAGTGGGAGTCCTTTCAATCTGGACTATTTCTTTTTGGCATGTCCTTGTCATTTTCTGAGTACTTCCTTAATTTCTATCAGAAGATCTGTATTTTTCTCATCTTTATCCAGAAGTCAGCCACTCTCCAGGGAGCTCTGGTTCCTTTTCATGGAAAACGATATTTCGATATCAAGATCTAGCTACCCTTAGGTGGATGCCCTTCTCAGCTTGTTTGGGCTCTGACACCCTGCTCTGATGGCCATGCCCCCTCCCTCTACACCACATTGCAATAGATCTTGCTTGGCCCTACCTAATGGTTTTGTGTTTTGTTTTTTTATTAATCCTCACCCAAGAATATTTTTCCATTTATTTTTAGAGAGTGGAAGGGAAAGGGAAAGACAGGAAGAAACATGGATGTGAGAGAGACACATCGATTGGTTGCCTCCTGCATGCACCCCAACTAGGGCCGGGGAACCTGCAACCAAGGTACATGCCCTTGACCAGAATCAAACCCGGGACCCTTCAGTCCGCAGGCTGACACTCTATCCACTGAGCCAAACCAGCTAGGCCTACCGAATGGCTTTTGGACCAAATTTTTTTGGGAAGACTACTCTTTTTTTTTCTTACTTTGTAACTTCCCAGACTTCAATCGTTCAAACAATATGACCAGCTATACTATCATGTACTTAATAATTTTCTTTCAAAGCATTTGTCTCTCTTTCAATTATTTGGTTCATCCTATGCAATAATATCTGAAATCATGGGTTTGATGAGCTACTTCTGGTTTTTCTAATAGTCATTACAATAAATAAAATATTAAAATGAGAAAAGCCTATCCATTTACTCCCTAACATTACTTTAGATACAACCAGTGGACATTGGCTGCTCTCTGGGGAACACTTGCTTTACTAGATTATGTACCTGCAGACTCCTGCACTTTTTAGTGAAACTCCACTGATATATCCTATGTTTCTCCCCAGGTAGGAGCTGTCCTTCAGAACACAGTAAAATCTCTCAGCAAGGCCTGGTGTGCTCAGAATTCCAGCTTAGCTTATGAGAGAGCCTTTTTGGCAGTTTCAGTGAAACTGCTTGAATGTGTGAGCCGCCTAGCTCCAGAAATGGCAAGACAGGTGGCTACCCCCATGACAGATATGATCAATGGGAATGGCGCCATCCGGGAGTTCATCCAGGGCCAGGGAGGTTGGGTAAGTATGTTGGGGCCCCTGGCTTAGCTAGCCATTTGCTACTAATACCTGGGACTCCAATTTATGATTCTTTCTGTAAGTTGGAAACCAAGCAGGAAAAGGGCTCCCTACTTTGCTGAAAATGCCAGGATTGCTTTTGCCATGGAAAAGGGAAGTATTCAGAAGCCCAGCCTGTGGATGTTGGACTCCAGAGTCATGCTGCCTAAAATACTGACTGCTAACTATATAATGCAGATCTTCACTCTCTACACATTACTATAAAGTATATTGGTTGAGTTCTAGTCTCAGCCTGGCTTCCCTCTGTTAGCTGGTACATTAGTGGTGTCTGCTGGGGCGATAACTATACAAAGCGTTCTGAGCCCAGTCTTAGTCATCATTAGACCATCTGCTCTCAGAGAGCACTCCCCTTCACGGCCAGGGTCAGCGGAAGTCCCAGCAAGAGCTGCATTCCCTGGTGGAACCTCAGATCACTCCTGCTTTCCTTAGGAAGTCCCTGGTGAGCATCCCTGTGACTGTTGGCTATTCCTTGTCCTTTCTAGGAAAATCTGGAGAGCTGAAGAAGAGGCAGAGCTCTTTCCCAGCCTGAACATCTCTTCCTCTTTGACTAATCAGGTGACTGATTTCTGGCAATTAAAACAGAAACAACCAAATCAAAAACCACTTTCTTTTGGACACAACTGAACTTAGTTAGATAATTTATTTCCTATCAATAAAGTTGGGAGGAGCTTCGAGAGGTCCACAGAGATTTTGTACTTCTGTTTTGATGTGAGTTTTAATGAGGTTCTGTTGAAGCAAAGACCTCCAGACACAAAGCGGTGCCTTGTTAGCAGTGGAATTCCAGGGCAGGCTTTTGCTGGAGTTATTTGGGGGAGGAGGGAGCACACAGTAAACTATTCCTTCAGATATAGCTCTATCTTGGGTGAGAATCTTGTCTACTAATTTTGCAGCCAAGAGAGATTTTTGGTTGGGAAATCTTGTTCGTTTAAGTTGAGGATTTTCTTTTAAATTCATAGTCTCAGTTTCATGTTAATTTCATCTGAGCAGGATTATTTTATGCATTTTCAAGATTGGAAGTGAAACTAGAAGTTTGCCCTTCTATTAGAAAGGTCAAAGAAAGATAAAACAGTTGCTGCATTTTTTTCTGCCACAGAATGCTGGAAGTGCTGGCCCACATCCAGGACAGGAGGGCCATCTCACCTTAGATGAAGCTAGCTGCATGCCACATTTCAAAGTGAGGCACATGCCACTGGTGGACCTTACAAATTGCTGATTTCCAGGTCCCATCCTAGAGATTCTGCTCCTGTAAAGGGCGGGGGTGGGGGGTGGGGGCGGGGGAGGCAGTCGGAGCCTACGTTCCTACCTTTTAACCAGCTCTCCAGGTGATTTGATGTACAGATCAAATTTAAGAACTGTCACTTTAGAGCCAGGGTTGGCAAACTGTAGCCCACAGGCCCATCCAGCCTGCTTCTTCTTTTTTTTTTTTTTGTAAATAAAGTTTTATTGGAATGCGGCTACACTCACTTGTTTACATACTATCTATGACTGTTTTAGCATGGCTATGGCAGAGTTGAGTAGTTATGGCAGACACCCTATGGACCCTTAAAGCTTAAAATATATACTCTTGGCCATTTAAGTTTGCAGACCCCTGCCATAAAGCTAAATGAACATTTATCATTGAGAAATTTAAACCCTGTTGCATCAGGATAATTCCTGGCAAACACAAGTGTAAGTAAGCTAACTCTTTTTTTCAGAATTTAGTTTGAGTGTGTTAGTTCTTACATGGTCTACACTTTCTCCAGGACTTTTTGCAAATTAGAGCATTTTGTGACTCCTGACCTGTCCAGAGAGGGTATACATTCCCATGGCCCACCACAAGAGAGTGGAGGTAATTAGAAGCAAAGCATATGGTTTCTATAGTCTATATATCAGAATAGTCCTTAATAATCTCATAGATTAGCAGGCAATCATCAAGTACATAGACTTCTTCATCCAAAAGCTGTGAAACCAGGTTAGCTACCTACATGTCAGGAAGGAAAACATTGCTATATCTATTTTTGAAAAGGTGTTAATGTCTTTGGCTAAAGTTTACAGAGCTAACCACATCCCCTCTCTTCAGCCAGCCAGCTATCTATATGAAATAAAGACACAGCCCTACAAATATATTCAGACTTTTTCAAAGTAGGCTATTTCCTCTATTCTTAGATAAATCACAATAGGTTAGTAAGCCAGAAATAAGATTTCATGTTTCTCTTTAGTAGAAATTAGCTTTTTTTTTTTTTTTGCTTCCAATTGAAGATACTTTATGTATTCCTTTGTCCCTTATGTTACTATAAACTCAACATGGTAAGTTTTGTGGTTTTTGACCTCTTAAACGAAGTCACTGTTTTCACTTAGACTAATGTTCTTCTGATCATGAAATAAGATTCTTCTGTTTATGCATTTGAACTAATTCTCAGCAAGTGCAACTTCAATTAAATGATATAGAACCAGGACAGATTGGTGGTTGCCAGGGGCAGCAGATGGGGGTTTGGGGACTATTGGTGAAGGGGGTCAAAAGGTACAAACTTCCAGTTATGAGATGAAATAGTTCCAGGGATCTAATGGACAGCATGGTGACTATATTACATATTTGAAAGTTGCTAAGAGAGTAGATTTTTAAAGTTCTTACAAGCAAACCAAAAATTGTAACTATGTGAGGTGATGGATGTGTTAACTAACCTTATTGTGGTGAGCATTTCACTATATATACAAATATATCAAATCATTACATTGTATACCTTAAATTTACACAATTTTCTTTTCTCTGGAATCAATAAAAATATTTTTTTTAAAATTAGCCCAGCTGGCATGGCTCAGTGGTTGAGCATTGACCTATGAACCAGGAGGTCATGATTTGATTCCTGGTCAGGGCACATAGCCAGGTTGCGAGCTCAATCCCCACAGTGTAGAGCATGCAGGAGGTAGCTGATCAATGATTCTCTCTCATCAATGATATTTCTCTCTCTCTCCCCCTCTCCCCTCCTCTCTGAAATCAATAAAAATATATTAAAAAAGAAAAGAAAGGAATGCATTCAGGTTGTCTGATTTTCACAATTTAATTTCACCATAGATTGATTATGGTGAAATTAAGTAAGTAAGCCAATCCCTTTGTACTTTAGTTCCCACATTTAAAATAGAGATGATTTGGTAACTGATTCATAGGATTCTTGTGAGGGGTAAATGAAGCAGGGCACTCTGTAAAGGGGTTAGCCCAGTGCCTGGGCTATTGAGAGCACTGCCTAAACAGTCCGGAGCCCCTGTGACTTGGAGTTCCTGAAGTTCTAGCTCAACTTCTTTCCCTTCATTAACTCTGTTTTTCACAAAGGCAAGCCAACAGTCTATGGTTTTACCTTTCACCTTGATGTGGGTGATTTTTAAGTCTGACTGACTTCAATTTTTCCAACATCCATATCCACAAACTCTCATTCTTTATTTCTGTATATCCTTCATATTCCCATACTCTTCCTGATTGCCATCCAGCTGGCTCAAAACCTCCATCAGTTTTCCCTTCTCCCTCTCCCCAGCTCTACTCACCCAACAGGCCTTTCTCATGTATTCCTTCCATTTTGTTCTGATTCTTCCTATATGAGTTAATACCCACCTGGGCTATTGATAAAGCCTGCTAGTTAAGCTTTCATCAATCCTCCTGTCCCAGGCTTGTCCCATTCCAGTCTGTCCTATACACAGTCTGCCACCAGATCGACCAAAGCTGTGGTCCCTTTGTCCATGGTTTTATCCATTTTAGATATGCTTTTGAAATTATATATACCACTGAAGGAGATAATGAGACTTACAAAACTTTACCAGAAGGGAGCATTTATTTTTAAAAAATCAAGAAACTTTAACCAACAACAAGTGCTGGTGAGGATGTGGAGAAAAAGGAACCCTAATACACTGCTGGTGGGAATGCATCCTGATACTATGGAAGTCAGTGTGGAGTCTCCTCAAGAAATTAAAAATGGAACTGCCATTTGACCCAGTGATACCAATTCTAGAAATATATCCTAAGAAGCCTGAAACACCAATTAGAAAGAACATATGCACACCTATGTTCATAGCATCACAATTTACAATAGCTAAGATCTGGAAACAGCCCACGTACCCATCAGTAGACGGGTACATCTACACCATGGAATTTTATGCAGCAATCAAAAAGAAGGATCTCTTACCCTTTGAGACAGCCTGGAGGGACCTGGAGAATATTATGCTAAGCAAAATAAACCAGTCCAAGAAAGACAAGTATCACATGATCTCACTCATATGTGGAAACCGATGAACAAAATAGATCCAGAGACATAGAAACATGGAACAGACTGAGGAATCTCAGAGGGAAGGCGGGGTGGGTGGAAAGAGATTAACCGAAGAACTTGTATGCATATATATGCATAAACCTGGACACAGACAATAGAGTGGTGAAGGCAGGGGGTGGGGGCGGGCTAGATGGGGTCAATGGGGTGGCGGGGGGGAGCAGGACATATGTAATATTTTCAACAATAAAGATTTTTCAAAAATCAAGAAACTTTTCCCCAAAGCATTGCTTTGATTGCCATTCTCTTAAAACCTTTCATCAGAACTTTGATTAGATTAGATATGTTCATTATCTTGATTGTGGTGATGGTTTCATGAGTGCATACACACACCAACACTTACCACATTGTATACTTTGAAATGTATGGGTTATTGTATGTCAGTAATACCTCAATAAAGTTGTTAAAAAATATCCTCCAGTGGTTTTCCACTACCCATCAAATAAAGCACACTTTTCAGCCTGGGTCAAATTTCCTCCCGGGTCTGGCCTCAGCTGCCCTTTTAGGCTTATCACTCCAGACTCCTGCACATAACCAATACTCCAGTGAAACAGCCACTCACTACGCTGTCTGCCTCCCGCTGTCCTCTGTGTTTTGTATTGCTTTCTCTCAGGCTCTGTAGACAACTTGAAGACCCAACTCAAATGTCACTTCCCCCTTGAGGTTATCCAGATAACCCGAACAAGAAGTGATCTTTGCCTTCTCAAAATTTTGTTTGTACCACGTCTATGGTCTTATCACAAATGCTCTTAAATTATAGTTATTTGTGTGCTTATCTTCCTTACTAGAGTAACGGATCCTCGAATGAAAATAATTTGTTGAACACTTCTGCAGCACCCCTTTCCATTCTCTTGCATGTGTGTGGATCTCATAATGAATGAATGACCATCAAACGAAAGATGAGACTTCAAGTTTGATTATAGTTTTAATAAGATGCCAACCAAGCCTCACCAAGTATCTTGAATCTCTATTTTTTTAAAAAGGTAAATTATTTCTGTTGCAACTTGTTGGTTGACCTTTGCCTCCTGAGGATTGTATTTGTGAAACCAAAGGCAGAGTATGAGTCCCTGAGTGGTGTGTGTGGGAAACTATGAAGTTGACGGCAGCTGAACTGACACGCTTGAAGAGTCTCAGAATGCTGTAGTGATGAGAAGCAGGTTGGAAGATGGGCAGGGCACGTCCCTGCTGTGAGAACATGAGCAAAAGGCTTCAGCAGAGGTGCTTTAGAAACCTCTTCTGTTTCTCTTTACAAAAGAAGAAAGGAAGGCTAGTCTGGAAATAAAGGAGGTCATTTTTTTTTCTGTCCATTGCAGCGCTTCGAGGCTGGACTGTGTGTCTCGATAGTAGCTCCATTCCTTTTGTCATAATAGCCCTGCTGCCTGAGCAGCCACATTCAGGTAGGGCCTCTTTGCCAGGTTCCTGGACCTCCCTCTGCTCCCAGCACAGCGAAAGTGCCTAGCCAGGGACCAGCACAGACTGTGCCAGGCAAGAGGCTTGGAGTAGCTGATGCAGCGAGTGACCAAGTCAGCGGGGGCCTCTCACCAAAGCCTAAGCACATCCCTGTATGCAGCACACTTCATCCAATAGACTGCTTTCAGGTAGGCGCAAGATCGCGTTAAGCCCTATGGGTTATACAAATGCATAGAAGATACTATCATTGCCTCTGATAAACTTAAAACTACAGGGGACGTTTTGTGTGTTTTCTTTTGAATGAACTCTTAAATAAACTGGTGGGAGACAAAGAGCATGTGAAGAAACTGACAATTTCTGAATATAAATATAAAGATTTATACCAAAAGGATCCAGGCTAAGAGAAAGTCACAGTGAGATGGAGTTAGGGACAGGATTTTTTAAGAGTAACTAGGTTTTTGGCTTTCTTTTTCATCTTGGTGAACATTAGGGGGAAAGGTGAGAGGCAGCAGCAGAGCAAGGTCTATGGGTGATGTGGTTGGATAGGCG